ATATATATATATATATATATATATATATATATATATATATTACAGTACCTCACAGTGTCTTACTCGAATTCACCGATACTACCGTGAGTAACGCAATAACCTGGTCGAGCGGTAGTAATCAAGCGGTTTAGGTCTCTATCGCTTCACCACGGAAGTCGTGTTTTCGAATCTTACTATCACCACTCAACCTCGTTTTTCTGCACCCTTGGGTAATGGACTTAGCCCGGTCGTAATAATCTTATCAATCTTTTTTAAATAGCCCATTTTTATCTATAGAACATGCAATAAGACAGTAAATTTCCAAGACCAGTCCGGAATCAAAATGCAGAAAACGGAGATGAGCCAAGCGGCGGCATTCGGAGACGCTGTCCTGGTCGCTTTTATAAAAACATGAACCGCTTGACCACTGCTCACTTACCCGGTCACTGACTTTATTTTAAATGTAGAGTGACTAGTGACTGTTTCAGGTTATTGTTCAACCCAGTACGTAAATACCCAATCTTTTTATTCCAGGTACGCACACAAGCGGTCTCGTGCAAGGGCCTGACGATGATCAACCCCATTCAACTGATGCTTTTTGGTTGTCGAACTGCAACTTGGCGGAATTCCGATTCCAGTTCTCCCAGTGAAGGAATTGTGCTGCTAGACGATTGGATACCTCTAAAGATAAACTTTTCCACTGCCGCAAATATTTTCGCATTACGACCAGCTCTCGAGGCTCTCCTTGTTCGAGCTTGTTTGCGTCCCGAGCAGTTATCCGATTTGGATGAGCTTGATCTTCGCGTAATTAAAATAGTACGTGATTTGTGTGGTGGTGGTACCGGCTCTGGGTCTGATGATTTGACCACCACGTCTTCTCCACCTCGGAAACGTTTTGCATCAGACTTTGGACATCCACTTCTGTCTGGGCGAAACAGACGCGTAAACGATTTTGGCGATCGCGGATTCGATCGTTATGTAAATCATCCCCAGTCTCGATTTGGTGTCCCGTTGGATGGTGCAGATTATGGCGGATTTCAGGGAGAGCGAAAGATGGCAAACTTTCGACCCTATGCTCCCCGTGGACAATCGTTCAATAATGGTGTTCGCTACGGTGCACCACGTCAACCGTACTTTCAGAATTCCGGAAATCTTGGATTTCAACCTAATCCTCGCGCCCGATTTCCACCCGCATGGATACAGCAACAGCCAACATTACCACCACAACCTAATCCCGATGCCTGGAACCAATGGAACCCACGTCCTTATGAGTAACAGTTCGTAAGCGTCCGGATTTTTTATTCAGATTTCCCCCCATTGATGGTGCGCATTATTTAATTTGAATTCCCTCATCATTGAGGTTTGTTTGCTAAACAGGTAAGAGAATACATCGGATTTATTGTAAACTGTGCTCCTCTGGCCTTCTAGAAACAGGTTGTTTATGGTGGAAATAGTTGATTTGTAACACTTGAGAACTCTTGTGGATCTTTCTAATTCATTTCACTTCAAATCTTCATCTGCTAGCTTTTCACGATCGCCTGCCAAAAAACATTCATCTGTAGCAAAGCTCGCACTGTGACGCTCTTGCCTCTCCAATGTTACAGTGCAGTTGTCACTGTCGTATACACAGTCCACATTTGTAATTGTATTCTGTTCGGATCCACTGAATTCCTTTTTAAATAAGCTGCTCATAGACAGCCACTAGAACTAAAGTACAAATTTGCAAGGTTTGTGATTTTTTCAATATTGAATTCCGGTACTGGTTCCATTAGGAGTCAACTAGTTACTTGTATTCGATTAGTAACTGCCATGATCAGCAGAAATATCAAGTTTTTAATAGACAGAAGAAACGTTAAACGGTGGTCATCACCAGCATGCTTGACCGTCATTGTGTGCGTTATTCGAAAGTCAA